CATTTTCCATGCCTAGAATGCTCTCCATCGCCATCTCCTTGTGACCTTGGCTTCCTTCAAGTCTCAGCTAAAATATGACCTTCTAAAATGAACTTTTCTTGGTCCCCTTAACACTAGTGTCTTTCCTCTGTTGATCATCTCCAACTTACCCTGTGTACATCTTACTCGTACATAGTTGTTAGCATATTGTCTCTCCCATTAGACTATTAACTCTTTGAGGGCAGAGAATTTTTTTTTCTGTTGTTTGTCCGGTGCTGAACACTGTGCCTGGCACCTAGCAGGCAATTTAATAAATGCTTGTTGACTGACATACTCTCTATAAACAAGTGGCACTGAAGCCTGCCTCAGCTTCATTCCTGGCTCTACTATTTATTTTGCCCTGAGGAAAATAATTTCCTCTTCATTTGGTCTCAATTTTTGTTTTTGTAAAAATGAAGGGGCTATACTAGATGATTTCCAAAGTCCTTACTAGCTCTAAGGGGACTTAATGAGATTACTGGACCCAATAGAAGGCTGTAGGGAATTCTTAAAAGTGGTAATAGTTGCACCTCACTTAACAATATGAAATGGCCAGTGAACAATAAATGTTGTATAAGCTGACAATTAAATGCTGAATTGTATAGTACAGAATGAAAGTGCTATAGGAGGTCAGAGGGGGAGGAGGTCAGTTAAAGTCCTTAGAGTATCCTTGAGGAAAGTAACTACTTCTTTAATGATTGTGGTAGGAGTAGATCCCACCATATTTCCTTTCATGCAGGATTTTACCTGAGCTTTCAGGGACTAGTAAGATTTCAATTAATGGAGGAGAGGGAAAGGATATTCTAACCAGGAGGAACAATATGAAGAAGAAGAGGAAAACAGGAATCTCCATGTCTTGTTTTTTGGGGCAGTGAGGAGACTCATCTAACAGATAAAAGAGTTCAAGTTCAATTGCACTGAGAAATAAGTTTGAGGCTAGAGGTGGAAGGCATGAAACCCAGGTAGAGTTGTCCTTTTTTTGCGAGTTTGTGTTACAGTTGATAGACCACTCAACTTGAAATCAGAAAGATTTATCAATGAGGGTGAGTGGGGAGGGAGGAAGGGAGAAAATTTGGAACCCAAAGTTTTAAAAACACATGTTTAAAAAAAATGTTTTCACATGCAACTGGGAAATAAGAAATACAGGAAATGGGGTACAGAAATCCATCCTGCCCTACAGGAAAATTGAAGGGGAAGGGAATAAGAGAAGGAGGGGAGAGATAGAAGGGAAGGCAGACTAGGGGAAGGGGTACTCAGAATGCATGCCATCTTGGGGTGGGGGGAGGGGCGAGATGGGGTGAAAATTTGGAACTCAAAATCTTATGGAAGTAATTTAAAAAAAAATAAAGTTACCTACCTCTTAAAAAAAATATCTGAAGTTGGATTTGAATTTAGGTCTTTCTGACTTTAGGACCAGTGCTCTATCCACTGCACCACCTCCCTGCCCCCAGACTATTGACTTTTGCTGAAGAAGTAAGAACTAGGGACTGTATCACCCTGCCTTTGAATTCCCAGTGCCCAACACAGTGATTGTCATGTAGGATGTGTTCAACAAATGCTTGCTGATTGAGATTTCACTCTGTATTGTTTTTTCTAAATCTTAAGTATCAGCTCTACTGATCTACTTTTCTGTTTTTAACCAGTTTTGATAATTATTTCTTTGTAATACAATTTGGAATTTTTTAAATGTCACGTCCATTTCTTTCTCATTTTTTCTTTTATTGTTTCCCTGGATCTTTTTTTTTTTCCCATTTGGGATGCATATTTGTGTGTGTGTGGGTATGTGTGTGTATATATATGTGTGTGTGTATGTGTGTATATATATATGTATGTATGTATAGGTATAATATGTATATAGGTATGCGTATGTATAATATGTATATGCATATATGCCTACATATGTATATATATACATGCAGGCATATATATACATATATTCACATTTGGTTATATCTAACTATATATGCTATATATCTAATGCTAAAACCTTAAACCTCCAGGTATAGAATTACATGCGTAAATGAATTCAGATCCTGTTAACACTTTTACTAGTCTTGCAGATCCATCACAAACATTGATTACACACATTTGCTTTTATTTCTGTAAAAAAAAATTGATTATTTTGATGTATATCTTGACTGTCTAGGACCATTAACTGACAGATTTTTAATTCATTTTTACTATTTTAAATACTATTTTTATTTCTATTTTTCCTTATTTTGGTTAGTAACAGAAATGTTGATGATGTTTTTGGAATCATTTTGCATTGTATTACTCTGTTGAAGCAATTAGCTATTTCATTTGTGTAGGAGGGGTAGATTTTTTAATGTTTTCCTTACCCATTCTTAAAATGTCTGATAGAATTTATGGGTAAGGGTTTTTCTTTTGTTTAATGAACTTGCTATTTAATTGCTTGCTTTTTTAAAGATTGGATTGTTAAGGTTATGTATTTATTGTTTTCTTAATTCAGATATTTTATATTTTATAGATATTCATGCCTTTCACATAAACTTTCGGCTTTGTTGGCATATAACTGGACATAATACTTTGTTTACTTGAACTCTTTATTTGTTGTTATTTGCACCTTATAGCAATCCTCTCTCTTAAAAAAATCAAATTACTTGACATTTAATCAATTGTATTGTTCTTTTAAAAATCCTGTTTTGCTTATAACTCCAATTAGTATTTTTATGTTTGACTTTCAATTATATTTATTTCATCTTTTAATTATAAAAATAAAATCACCTTAAAAAAGAAAGAAAAAAGAAATCAGAAAGATCTAGGTTTTACTCTTGCATGAGGTCCTGGACAAGTCATTTAAGTGATTGATGCCTTGGTCTCCTCATCTGGAAGATGGGGTTAATAATGCCTATTAAATTAACTCACAGTGTTGTGGTAAGGAGCAAATGAAATAATGTATGTAAAATGTTTGCAAACCTTAAAGTGCTATATAAATGCTAGCTATTATTATTGACATAGGGAACCATTATAGATTTTTGAAAACTGCAATAACATGATGAAAGCGGTGTTTGAGGAAGGTTGTTTAGGCATGATCACTCTTGCGCATTTTATGCCATCACTTTAGGGAATTCCTGGTGAGGAAATTTCCTCTACCAATATAGGTCAGCAAGCATTCTGTAATGCATAGTTGTAAAGAGTTGTCTAAAGTAACTGATCGATAAATGAATTGCTCATAGTCACATAGCTAGTGCCTGTTAGAGACTGGACTTGAACCCAGGACTTACCTACTCTGAAGTCATCTCTCTATTCTTTGCTTTAACCAGTATCTCACAGTTACAGAGCCATAATTTTGTTCTAGTATAATTTTTCTCATTTCAAATTTTTCAGGATTTTGCTCATGGATAAAATGGCTTATCTCAGTCAAAAGTTTTCCTCAAATCAAGAGCTCAAGAACTACAGATTCATTCAAACTTCTGTTTCTACTTATTATTCTTTTATATATTCTAATTTATTATATGTTGTAGTATTATATCATAAAAACATCTTATGAATTAAATTATATACTTTTTTCCCCCAGCAACTGAAGGTAGCATGGTACCTTGGAAAGAATACTGACTTTGGAGTCAAGGACCTGGGTTCAAATCAAGACTCTTCTGCTCCCTACTTTTGTTATCTTTGGCAAGTCCCTTAACCTCCATGGACCTATGTTTCCTATTTTGTAAAATTAGGAGATTGGACTAGATGTCAGCTAAGATCCCTTCCAGCTCTAAATTTTGATTAGTATCCATATAACACTGTTGCAACACATCCGTTATGTGGATCACCAGAAAGCAATCATCCTGTCTTTTATAATTTTAATAATTCACATAGGTTTCATTGTATTACACAAAGTGCATGGAACTGAATGATTTCACCAGCTTTAGCATTCCCTGAGCCTTATCCCTTTCCTGGGAAATATATCTTGTGAGAAGATATTGCTGGTGCTGAGAAAAAAAAAATGAACTCAGCAGATGGAATGACAAATTTCATTGTTTAGTTTAATCCAGGGTTATCCAAAATACAGAAAAAACTGAATTTAAAAAGGAATCATGGCATTATAATGTGTCTTTATTTTCCACAAGCGAGTTAACTCTTCTGAATAAGATAAATCCTACATATTCTAATTATTCTTCAATACTTAGAAAATAAATCTGAGATTTAATCAGTGTGAGTATTCTTTCACTACTTGCCTGGAGTTCCAAGCAGATTTTACCAGTTGCTGTAGCCTAAAAGATCGATCACTTGGTGGGCAACCCTCTGGTAATGAATGATCCTCATTGCAATATAGTTAATACAGCAGTACATCTCATTTAAGAAGCACCTGTTTGTTTGTTTTTTCCTTTTGAAGAAAACCTCAGCTTTTCACAAATCAAAAGGAAAAGAGGATAGCTGTGTATTTGCTCTAGAAATGTTAATGAAGAAGTAGCAGGGAAAGTCCTCTGTGAATATGTGGGACATGGTGGGGAGGATGAACACTGGAGGTCACAGTCAACGTGTTCCATTTTCCTCGCCTGGGTGTCGAGGGATGTCCTGGAAGGTGTACGCTCTTGCGTACTTAGGGATATAGCTCATCACATCTCTGCCTCAGTCACTGTCTTGGGTGTCTTCCTTAAGGCAAGGTCATTGCATCACCACCACTGTGTCCCCTCTTGAGCAAACGGCCCCTGAATGGTGGGCTCGAACCGCAGGATGGACACGGTTACACACACACACACACACACACACACACACACACACACACACACACACACTCACACTCACTTTCCTGCAGGGGCCCCAGGACCGGGCGCCGCCCCTCTCTTTCCCTTCACCTCCCCTCCCCTCTCGGTTGCAAAACACTAGTGCGCCCCGGTGCCTGAGCTCAACGTAGTCTCTGTGTAGCGTGCACCAGCCGCTGCCTCGGGAAAGCCCGCGCCCCCGGCCCAACCCTAGCACCGCGGGCCCAGTGGCGGGCGGCGGCAAGGCCCCCTCCCCTTCTCCTCTGCTCGCTTCCTTCCTCCCTGCCCTCCCGCGCTCCCTCCGGGGGCAGGGGAGCCGAAGAACTAAGCGCTCTTCTCTCCCCTGGCACGGGTACGGCTCACTCCTTTGCCATGGGAGGGCGAGGAGGGGAGGGCTCCCGCTGCACCGGCCCCCTGCGTTCTCTGCTACTGGTGTTCCAGGAGAAAGACCGAAGAGGCAGGCGCCAAGGTAGGGAAGAAGGGGCGTCCCGGAACATAAGATGATTCTTGAGGAGAGCTAGCTGGGGATGAGAGAGGGAAAAGGGCAAAACCCTGGCCAGCGCCCTCTCCTTTTCACTTCTCACTCTGGTCATTTAAAATGGGTCATTTGCTTCTGTATTTAGAGTTTTGAGCCTTGATTCCCCCAGGGTCACAGCTGGGCACAGTACTATGGAGGGGGAGGGGTGCGAGGCTATGAATGGGGCACGAAAACTGGGGTCAAGCTTTTAGGGTGCAGAAATTCCTAACCCAGGGACACCACCCTCCATCCCAGCTGCTAGGAAGGCAGGGGGAGCCTGGGGAGACCCCAGGCTTCTTCCTGGCCCTACATGACCCCTTCTCCACTGAGTGTGTTTGGTGTTTGGAATTGAAGGCACATCCTGTGTCTTGACCTTTGGGAGTCACCTTCCCGCTTGGTAATACCCTTTCTGCCCCTGAACTAGTGCTTTCCCTTGGGGCAGGAAGTCTCCTCCCTGCAGTTGGAGAGAATTTACGTCTATTCCTCTTCTGCGACCCCAGGGTGCCCTTGCTTTAGGCAGGTATTACAAATGCCTTCTTCCCAAGAGGATGATCCACCTAAGAGGATGCTTCCCAAATAGGATGCTTTGGAAGGGGCCCCATTCCCGTGGCATGTTGTCCAACAGCTCCTGACATTGTTCCACTAAAAACAAGTTTTCTACAGTCTCCCTCCTTCCTAAGGAAGGAGAGGACCTGGGCTTGTTGTATGACTAAAGAGCAGCATGATCTGCAACCCCAGACAACTTCTGGGGGCATGTATCCTTAAGAAATAGTGGTAGAGAAAATACAGCAGGTTTAACTCAAACGAGAGGCTGTAGTGACCAGGCTTGTGACGTTCCATTTTTGCCTTTGCCACTCATCATTTTGCAGTGGAAAGAGTGACGGATTCCGAGTGGTTTTCCAATCTCTCCTCTGCCCCTCACTATTTATATTGACCTTGGGCTAGTCATTTTGACAATTGGGGCCTTAGTTTCCTCATCTACAAAGTGAGAGGCTTTGACTAGATGACCTCTATTTTTTTTTTTCCAGCTCTATGATCCTGTGTTCCTTTGTACTTATCAACTGTGTGATCTTAAGCCAGTTACTTTTCTTGATAGGGTGTCAGTTTTTTCAGCTATTAAATGGAGAATTTGGACGAGATGATCTAAAATGCTCTTTCCAGTTATGGCAATCTATTGTTTTGATATGGAGACTTTTGAACCCTAATGCAAATGAGGGGGCTGTAATTAAAATGTGTTGTGAACAGTTATGTAGAGGGTGGCTACCCTATGCTTGCGAGTCAGATCATGGAAAACTAGAAGGAGGCAGGAGATATTCCTTTGAAGTATGAAAGAATTAATCCAAGACAAATTTAAGGAAAATGACACAAGGAGTAGCAAACACATAATCACCTTCTGAGATGGTATAGTCTGAAAAGATTAATAGGTTCAAGAAGGGGTTAGATAAATTCCTAGATGATAGATTCATAGTCCCCACAAAGAGGAATGAGAGTCAAGATTCATGTCACATGGTTTCGGAGACAAAAATCTGGAATTGTAGGAGTGGAGATCTGCTGTTGGTAGCATTTAAGTTCTGTTAAATAATGTGGCACCATCATTGTATGCAGTAACCATAGAGGGATGCATGTTGTGCTTAAATTGGGGAATGGTCAGTCAGCCTCCTGACTTCTTTCAGCCTCAGGCATTTTCGTTGTTTGCTGATCTAGTGATTTCCTCTGTGTGTTGTAATGTTATCTCAATACAGAATATGGACATTAGGTATTCTATATTCTCATTTACACCTGCATATCATTTATCATAACTGTGCTCTTTCCCCAGTCCTTTCCCCAGGCTTTGAAAGCTTCAGATGTTGTTTGGCATGGAGTGATGATGGGATCCCAGTGCCCCGGGCCTTCCTCCCCCACTGGGAGTCATTGATGGGTACAGGCTTCAGTACCACTGGTCTCCTTGATCCCTCCACTCCACAGTCTGCATTACTGCCCTGAAATATGCATATAGATCTATAAATTGCTATGTGGCTTCACAGCTTAAATGCTTAAGTACAGGTTGAAGCAGAGTAACTTGGTGGACAGTTTTTTAATCTTTGCCTGCCTGGTCTGTATCTAACCCAGACTTTTTGCAGTTCTTCAGGCCAGCAGTATAGTGGTGACTTGCACCTTCTCAGAAGACATGAACATACACAGAATTTGCCCAGCTTATTTTTTTAACTTTTTATTTTTTATCAATATCATCTATTTCATTTCCAACTACAGTATCTCTCTTACTCTTGTAACAGAGGAAAGGCAATTTATCAAACTAACAAATCAACAGTCTGATAGTATATGTAATGTTTCTCAGTAGCTCCTTCAAAGCTAAAGAAATGCATTTTCTCAACCCTTTTCAGAACCTAGCTTGGTCATTATAGTTATCCATTATCTAACACTCAAGTTTGTTCCCTACCCCCTTTCTTTCTATTTACATTGTTGTAGTCATGTATATTTTCCTAGTTCTGCTTACTTCCCCTAGCATCAGTTCATATAAGTCCTCAAATTCTTTCCCAGTCGATTTTGCCTATTTTCCCTAACTCTACTTTGTGCAGTAGTTCCCTGAAGGTTTGTTTGCTGGGGTTGCACGGGGTGGGGGGGGGCGTAGAAGGGGGAGGAGGAGGCGGCAAATTCCAGTACCTAAGCTGAAGTGAGAAAAGACACTTTAAAAATAATCAAGTCTTCTCTAGTTTATGGGGGACCCCATTTGTTCTTTTCCACTTTTAAGTATAGACCAGACGAATCAACCCTAATCTGGATAATATTTCTACAAGTTGATTTTTTGAGAGAGAGGAACTGATTGATAATGTTATGACACTTGTCAGATGATGCTGATTTAAAGCTGTGGTTATAGGGATAGAAAAGAAGGCAAGTTGAAATCTAAAGCCTGGTTTGTTCAGCTCGTCATTGTGTTTGTAGTTAGCACTCGTCATCTTATCCTGTTGACTTTTCAGATGATTGTGATAGAAGAACTCAGATTGATTCAAGCCTAAAAATGTCTTATTCTCTTGGAAGCTTAATGAAAACCAGCTGAACTAGAGGGAATCCGTGATTTCTGAGAACAGTGTCTGAATTGTGAAAACTATCATATGACCTCCAAACACTGTTTTCCTTCCTTAGTAACAACATCCTCTATAGTTTACTGAGGCACGTAGATCCATCATCATGTCTGATCTTCTCAACAGCTCCATGAAGCAATCAGGATAGTAATTGTTATCCCTGCTTGTAAAATCATAACAACATTTATATAGAACTTTAAAGTTTGCAAAGTGCCTTATACATACACATACTATATATATATGCATACATATATATGAATAATCTCATTTGATCCTTATAATAACCCTTGAAGGTAAGTGCTACTATTATTATCCTCATTTTACAGATGAGGAAACTGAGGCTGAGAGATTGAGTTACTGGGCCAATGTCACACAGCTAAGTAAATGTCTGAAGCAGGATTTTAACTCGAGTCTTCTTGACTCCAAGTCTGGTGCTCTCTCCACTGTTCCACCTAACTGCATAGGGAAAAATGGGTAAAACAAGTCCAGAGAGGTCATAAAATGACTTGCCCAAGGACTAGTGGCTAGTAAAGCCTTAGAGACCTAAAACTTAGGTTTCTTGACTCTAGGTCCAGTGTTTTCCACTGCATCAAATTATCTTACACTGAGAATATTCTGGTTGGTAAATGACAAAATTGGGAAAGGTGTATGCCTTGTTAATAGGAAGGCATGGCAGAATTTTAAAGCAGGTGAAGTTTGTCTTGGGAATTTTCCCTCTGTGATTCCCTTGTCTTCTGTCACCCTTTTAAAGGTGCAGAGCTATCGCTCTGCTCTCTGGCTTTCCAGGGTCACTTCCTCCACTTCAGTATTAGCATTCCTTAAGTCACTTCGCCTCTTAGAGGGCTCTGGAAAATGAGGGAGTTGAACTTAGCTCCTCTAAGCTCCTTTCATCTCTAAAATAGTATGTTCCTAAGTGCCCTCTGTTGCATACCTTTCTTCCTCTCTTCTCTCCTTTCAAACCTGTGTCACATGTAGAGATTTTTATTTACTAATAGGGACCCAGAAATAGCTCTAGGGGACACAAATGTAGGAGGAAGAGATGTCCCCCTTTCCCTCTTTTCTACTGCTAGCTGAACTGTTGGGAGTCAGGTTTGTTAACCAGTGTTAATTTCTGATTGATGGTGAAGCAGGTCTTGGTGGGGGATGTCAAAACTTGACATTGTTTCCCCAAAAGATAAAAGCCCTCCAATAATAATGTGAGAATGCAGAGAGCCTAGTGCTGCTGTTCTGAAAATGTTGAATTCCAGACTGGAGCTGTAGAAAGGGAATGAACAGAAATCTAGGGACCAGATATCCCCAAACTGGGCTGCACCTTTAATAGTGCTAATGCAGTTATGTGTGACTTTCCCTCGGGCCCTATTTTCTACTGATAAAAGGTTTTGAAGATTCTTTGCTTTGTAAATGCAAATTAATATTAAAAAAATGTGTTGGTGGTTAATAAGGCACTGAAACTCTGGGATTGCAAGAGGGTATGTGAGGCCGGGTGGGGAGGAAGTATTGAATTTGAAGACAGAAGATATATGATTGACAAATACAATTATTTATTACATCTGTGGTCTCAGGCAAGTCACTTAATCTCATTAGGATACAGATTCCCCATATTCAAAATAAAGAAGATTAGTTGGATTCTATGTTTTTTTTTTCCTAGCTCTTAATCCTATGGTTCTGATGGTGTTATATGGCACTTACCCCAGGTAATGGAGTATACAATACTTTCAGGATTCATGATTTCTTTGGTATCTGTAGCCCCTGCACTGATCCAGATTGCAGCCCTGGTGCACCTTTGAAGATGATCTTAGTGAACTGACATGGCTGGAAAAGTGATCATGCTGTGGATAAACCGGTGACAAGGCTCTGCATATTTAGCTGTGT